TGTTAATTTACTTTTGTAATAACAAGGGTAGTATTTGGCTTCAAACTCAGGTTGGTAGGACATTTTGGAGATACCCTTTTCCTTTTTGTCATAATCTTTGTGTCTATATTAAAGATGGTATATCTTGGATGTTCTTCATGATTTTAGTGTTTTCCATCCATGAGATTTTGAAATAGCATATTCAATATTGTTTTTTTTTCTTTTTTAAAAATTTTAACAGTTTCAGGGAGTAAAGTTTAATTCTGTTTTGTGTATGTAGTGTATGGTGGTCAATATTCTGTTTTAATTTATCCTTTCAAGATGTAGATTGGTTTGAAAGATTTTATGAAAACATAATTCCATAGGGTGAGAGCACAGAAAGATAGATTATGCATCTGGGTAAAATAAAATTTTATATATATACTTACAGAGTTGTTGAATATATGATACATTTTAGATTACTTCATATAGCAATATAATAAGTATTCTTGTTAATATCACAAGTTCTTGAATCCCCAAATAGCACTTTTTTTAGAATATTTATATTTCTTAATTAGAATTAAATATCTATGAGATTAATTTCCTAAAGATTACTTTATTTAATAATTTGAATTACAGTAGACCAAACAATTGTACAAAAATTAGAATTAATACATATTCTAACCTCTTAATCTGCTTTATTTTTATTTTAGAATGAATTTACTTTAGTCATGACATTTACTGTTTTATTCATTGATTTTTACAAATATCAGTTGCATGCCTTGTGGTAGATTCATGGTATCTTTTGTTGAATGTTATATTTACTTGTCTTCGCCTTCACAGTGTTGAGAGTCTAATGGAGCAAGAGTCAGAGAGTAAACATAAAAAAAATACAGGGTATCCCAACATTTGTCCCTAAAGTTGCCATACACCTTTATTTATAAAATATTCATTGTAATATTTTACAAAGTATTTACAGAGAAGTGGCCAACACAGAGAATGTTTTGTAAATATTTTATAAAAATTTGTAGTGAATATTTTGTAAATTAAGGTGTACATTAGCTGTAATTTCCCATTTTCCCTATGTATGGCAACTTAAGGGTAAACTTCTGGGTTACCTTGTGTATGTGTATGTGTGTGTGTGTGCATGTGCACAGGCACGTATATAAAATTTCAAACTGTAATGAGTACTGTGAAGGAAAGGAACATAATACAAAAATGTGAATAGGGAATATCTCTTTGGGAGGATGAAGTTATAAGTCAAGATCCAAATGAAGAAAAGCCACCTACTTGAAGTGCAAGGGGAAAAGCATCTTGGGTGGGAAGAATTACATGTGCAAAGGCCTCAAGTCAGGAAGGAACTTGATGTACTTGAAAAAAGTAAAAGAAAATGGGCAAGATTGGAGCAGAATGGCTAAAGGGAACAGTGATTCAAGTTGATTTTGGACAGGTCATTACGGGTGAAGTCATGTGGTGGCTTTGTAGGCCGTGGTAAGAAATTTGAAGTTTAATTAAAGTACAATGAGAAGTCATGGAATAGTTCTGAAAATGATCTGATTTATGTTTTAAAAAATTATTTTGAGGGTGGTACCTGTGGCTCAGTGAGGAGGGCACTGGTCCCATATTCTGAGGGTGGGAGGTTCAAACCCACCGGCTAAATTGCAACAAAAAAATAGGCAGGCGTTGTGGCAGGCACCTATAGTCTCAGCTACTCGGGAGGCTGAGTAAGGAGAATCGCTGAAGACCAGGATTTGGAGGTTGCTGTGAGCTGTGGGAGGCCACGGCACTCTACCGAGGGTGATAAAGTGAGACTCTGTCTCTACAAAAATAGAAAAAATTATTTTGGCTCTTATGTGGATAGATTGGAAGTAAGCAGATATAGAAGCACAGGGACTAGTTCAGTTTTTGCAGTACTGCCAAGAGATCAAGAGGTCTGGAATAGAGATGTACATATATAATGTTTAATTTTCTAGTAACTCATTTTGAAAAAAGTAAAAAGTAGGGGGCAGCGCCTGTGGCTCAGGGAGTAGGGCACTGGCCCCATATGCCAGAGGTGGCGGGTTCAAGCCCAGCCCCAGCCAAAAACTGCAAAAAAAAAAAAAAAGTGGGAAGTTATTTGAATAATATATGTTATTTACCCTGGTATATTCAAAATATTCTAATTTAACATGTAATTAACATAATACTGGTGAGATATTTTACATGTTTGTCTTATTAAACCTTTGGAATCTGGTATGCATTTTACATTTATTGTATGTCTTAATTTTGACTGGACACTTTTCAAGTGTTCAATATCTATATATGGGTATTAGCTCCTTACTAAACTGGGCAGGACAGATCTGTAGAGTTGTGTTTTGATTGTGCTAATTGCCTACTCAAAGCCTGTATTAAACTACTTAGAAAATTTTTGTATGTGCTTTTCACTTTAATACTCAGATTCTTGGCTGTGTGGTTTTTACTACCTAGAATGCCCTTCCAATCCTTGTCTATTTTGTAAACTATTGTACATAGACAGGCTTTATACTACATAATAATTGTGTATGTTATATTAGCTTTTGGAGTCAGACATCACATGGCTTTATGCCCTTTTTTGACTCTTAATGACTATATGTTCTTATGTCTTTAACATGCCACCCAGATAAAGAATTTTGTCTTTCATCTTCAGTTTTCTAATGGGTAAAAAGGAAATGATCACACAGGTGCTGTCAAAATTAAATGAAATAATGTGTGTAGAGAACATTTCTTCAATAAACAGATAATTGTTCTTTGCTGCAAATTTGTGGACGTATTTGTGCAGTAGAGTTGGATGAATTTCAGCTCTAATCATGGTTTAACCGTTTAACTCTTCTGTGGCCTTGTGTAAGTTAACTTTGCAAAGCCTATTTCCTTATCTAAAATATTAAACCATACCCACTTCATAAGGTTGTTAATGAGAATTAAATGTGTGCTTGGCAATTAGAATTAAGTGTGTGTTTGGCAATTAGATAAAACATGTTATAATTTATAAGCTTTATTATCATTTGTAAAAAAATGAATAAATGTAAAACTGTTAAGGATTATGTATAAAATAGGAGGCATATCTCAGTACCTATAGCACACTGTAGGCACTCAACAAATGCTAGCAATTATTGCGTCTTCATCCTTCAAGACTAAATTTAAATGTCGCTTTCCTGGGTGAGGCTTTTCCTAACCTTACCAAGGAGAATTAGGTGATAATCAGTTGATATCTCTTTTCTCTTAGCACTTTGTATTTACATTTGGCAGAATCTGTAAACAGACTCATTTCCCCTCTGAGAACCCTTTGAAGACAAATTTTTTTAATTCATTTTTTTATTCATTTCATCTCAGGCATTCAGCATAGTGCTTGAATAGGTGCTTCTCTAAATTTGATATACTTCTTTTTTTTTTTTTTTTTAGACAGAGCCTCAAGCTGTCCCCCTGGGTAGAGTGCCGTGGCATTACAGCTCACAGCAACCTCCAACTCTTGGGCTCAAGCGAGTCTTCTGCCTCCGCCTCCCAAGTAGCTGGGACCATAGGCGCCTGCCACAACGCCCGGCTATTTTTTGGTTGCAGCCGTCATTGTTGTTTGGCGGGTCCGGGCTGGGGATTCGAACCCGCCACCTTAGGTGTACGTGGCTGGCGCCTTAGCCGGTTGAGCTATAGGCGCTGAGCCAATTTGATATACTTCTGAAAAGTACAAAAACCAGTTTTTGAGCATGAAGTTGTTTTCAGGAGAGGAATTATAGCATAGTAATCAATATCAGAGATTTTAGTGCTGGGTAATCTAGGGATCAAATTTGGATTGGTGTCTGCAAGTTGTATGTCCTTGGGTATATTGCTCAATCCCTTCTAAGCTTCGTTTCTTCATCTGTAAAATGAGAAAACACCACCAGTGTGCTTAATAAGCAGTCATTGTAGAATGTGTGGTAAATTTGCAAATTGAAGTGAAAAATTCTTTATCTGGGTGGCATACTTTGTCATTTAGAAAATTTAAGGACAATTTTAGCCTTACACCAAAATAGATATGTATTCAATACGTTGCAGACTTTTTTTTTGGTATTTTCTTTTTTCATAATTATTAGATGGATATTATTTATACAACTAAAGCATTTATTTATTTATCTATCTCTATCTATTTATTTTTTGAGACAGAGCCTCAAGCTGTCGCCCTGAGTAGAGTCCTGTGTCATCACAGCTCATAGCAACCTTTAACTCCTGGGCTTAAGTGATTGTCTTGCCTCAGCCTCCCAAGTAGCTGGGACTATAAGCGCCTGCCATAATGCCTGGCTATTTTTTGTTTGTAGTTGTCACTGTTACTTTGACGGGCCCGGGCTAGATTTTAACCCGCCATCTCTGGTGTATGTGGCTGGCGCCTTAGCCGCTTGAGCTACAGGCGCCGAGCCTAAATCATATTTTTAGAGCTAATGAAGAGGAAACTGTATAAAGTTAAGAAATATTTCAAAGCTCTGTGGTGAAGTTTGCCAAACCAATGAGAAAAGTAGGTTTCCTATGAAGATGATTTTATATAGCAAGGCAGTCAGCTTTTCTGAATCTCTCAGGAGAAATATTAGATTATTGTTTAATAGTTGACCCTTTACAACAGGAAAAAATATTGCATGAATGACATGAATAAGATGTTTTATAGGGTAATTTTTATTTTCTTATTTTTGAGACAGAGCCTCAAGCTGTCCCCGTTGGTAGAGTGCCGTGGCATTATAGCTCACAGCAACCTCCAACTCCTAGGCTCAAGCAAGTCTCCTGCCTC